AAAGATGAGTAGTGGCTTCAGCCGCTTTCACAGGCCCCATGATGCCCCTGCAAGTGGTCTCAGCACTTCATTCTGCTCGGGAGGGTCTGGCAGAACTGGGCTGACTCTTCATGCTGAGTTCCCAATGCTTGACACACAGATTTTTGCTTTCTCTTTCCCCTTCATGAGTGCATGAGACCTATAGCAAAATAATGACAAATAAAATTAAGTAATTCTTTTAAAAAGAGACCTTTGTATATATAGGAGCAATTGTCCTTGGAGAGAGTAATCACACCTATTTTTAGAACTGTCTTAAGGGACTTATGCCTCTAGGCATCTGAGTTTGGCCTCTGTTACTTGGGACTACAGAGCGCCGTGTTGGCTGGTCTCATAGAAAAACTTTCATGGGTTGCAGAAGGAACTTAACTACCATTCATCGAGAACACAGATGTTCAGGATCCAGCCCTGAGGAGCCCTGGTAGCCTAGGAGTGATGCTGAGTGCGTAAGGGTCGTGGCATCCCAGCCACTGTCACTAGGGTTCTAGGACAGAACAGGTGGTTTTTACATTGTGCTAGTGATTCTTCTGTGTGTGGAGGTGGGAATCACTTCAAGGAACTTTCTTCAGTGGTATACACCCTCCCCCAGAGATTTTGTTGCTGTTATCAATTTGCTATGTGGCACATGTGCTTGCTGGAGAGAGAAACAGAGAGAGGGTAAGTGAGGAAGCACCCTCCAAGGAGGAGGTGGCCACTCCACAGTTCCTTCTCCATTCTCCTCTCGGGATCTTGGACACAGGTGCACAGTGTGTTTTTCAAGCCACTGGATCCAGGACTTGAATCACGCAATTGGTTATGTAGGACCCAGCCACCTTAACCACCATGCCACCAGCTGCCCTTCCTTGGAGATTTGGATGCCGCTGACTGTTCTTCCTCACCCGCCCCTCTATGAACAACTCTAAACTTTAGAGTTTAAAAGAGATGGGTCCCGTTAATATAAAAAGTGTCTCATCTTCCTCATCTGTCAACAAGGCAATAGTGAGTACAGTTAAAAGGTAAAGGGGTGCTCATTTCAAGCAAGTGTTACTCTCTGGGCAGCTGGGCAGCAGCTGAGTGTGAAGGAGATTCAGAGATGAGGCAGAAAAGCGGAGCAGTTGGGAAGAGGAGGCTCGGGCAGAAAGGGCATCCAGGTAGTTGTGAGCATGTCAGTCGGCCTCTTACCTTCCTGATAACCCTTGGCCAGTCAAGAGACAAAAGCATTAGAGGCATATGCAGGCTAGCATCATGCTGGGAGGTGGGCCACCACCAGCAGATGAGTCTTTGCCCACAGAGTATTAGTTTGTGGTTTGTCCCGACTGCATCTCCCTCCTTTTGTCACCAGTCAGGGTCTAAATGTCACTGCATAGGAGTCATGAATTATTAGGTAACAGCCTCTGGAAAAGAATTCCTGTGTCATAGAAGTTGACTGGAGAGTCGGATGAGTCACTCATCAGGAATAAACCCAGCACGTGTTCCTTTCCAGCAAGAGAAACATTGCTCCCTGTCACAGGTAGCTCTTGTGCTGAGACTTTTCAGCTCTTTCAAGGCTTGAACACGTTTGAGGGTGTCTGTGGTTCTCAGGGATGGCAGACATTTTTCCCGTGCCTGCTTTGGGGCTATTTATGGAATGAAGTCCCACATTGTGTTCAGGCCTTGGCACATGGCCAGTGGTTGGGCTTTCCACTTCCTTCCCCTCCCCTGAGCTCCTGGGGCCCCTTCCTGCCTTGACTGAGGATGTTCTCACTGGTCCCCCTTCTGCCTGGTGAGGAACAACAGCACAAGGGCCGCCCACCCAATTTGGTGTAAGTTTCTGTTTGTTCTGGGCTGTGACCTTGGCAGGGGCTGTGCTTGTCACTGATGAGCTCCTCAGTCTTGGGGCCAGCAGGGAAGAAGCAAAAGCCTGACATTCAGGCTTTTGTTGTCTTCCTGATGCCTCGACTGGAGTCATTAAACCTTTATTCTCTTCAGGAGAAGCAAGCCCGAGTTGAAATCGATTAGGTCTAGCCCTTTGTGGAAACTAAAGGGATTACAGGTTTACACGCTGGCCTGCCCTGCGTTTCCTCCCACTCTTTATGCTCACAGACAAATCTCTGTTTTCCTGCTGCGTCATTTTGAGTTACAATCAGGCTGCTCTTTTTTCTTAAAATTTCCATATAACACCTCTTGTGTGTAAACCAAAATGGGAAAGAAGGAAGAGTATATGTGAGTTTAAAAATAAACTGAAATTTACTAGAATTTGCCTTCAAATAAATATGTGCACTTAGGTTAATGACCAAGGTAGACTGTCCTTTAAAAAAGTCCTTTCCACTTGCGCACCTGACTCTGGCAAAGGACGGGAGAGACTCCATGAGGGAGGTTCCCTACTCAGCTACAGCTAACAGGAGTGGACTGGCTGAACCTGGGTGGGGCCTGGGGCAGCAGACTCCACACTGGCCTACCTTTTGCAGTGTAAGCTGTCTGCCCAGTGTGCACGCCCCTTGTCACAGAGCCCTTTCATGTCAATGCACCTCCCCGCCTGAGTGAGTGAGAATTAAGGGATGCTATTCTGGATTCCAGGCTGAACCCTATCAGCCAGTCATACCTGGTGTAGAAATATTTAGAAACTGTAGACAATCCTACGCAGGGGTACAGAGAGGCCAGAGCCAGGGGCCTCAGTTTGCATTCTTCCCACCATATCACGTGCCTGCAGCTGCTTTTTTCTCCAAGGTAGGGCTTTTGAAAAGACTATGTATGTATGGGACCAGCAGTTAGCGTAATGGCTGTGTCGTTGAACTCCCATGTAGTCGACCGCGGGTCAAGTCCTGGACCCGGTGGCTTAAACTCATGCCAGGCGCGTGTTGCATGCATGCCCAAGATCTCAAGAGGAGAAGGGATTGCGGTGTGGCCACCACCCCTGGGGGGTGATTTCTTGCTTTCTGTCTCTTTCTGTCTCTCTGGTGAGCGCACACACCCTGTAGCAAAAACCTCTCCAAAAAAAAAGTAAAAAGTAAAAAAAAAACACGACTATTTATGTATCAGACGTAGCCCACCCAGCCAGTGCAGGGAAGCAGTTGGATAATACAAAATGAAGCTGGCTGCGGGCCTGAGCCATCTGGCGTCTGGCAACATTCGTGCCCAGTGATATTTACTGAGGCTGACAGGAAGGCAGTGTGACTTCCTAAGCATACACCAGTTAAAAGAAGTGTTAATGTACAGTAGAAAGAGCCCTAGACTTAGAGCCAGGCTGCCATAGTTCGGAACTCACTGTCACAGTGGTGTGGTTGAGCACATTGCTTCATCTCTAAGCATCAGTTACCTCATCTGTAAAGTGGGGGTGACGACACTTGGTGTCATCAGCAGTCATGGTTGAGGGTTGAAGCAACGTAATTTTTGTGAACGGGCTTCGCCCATGCATGGGTGCGTAATAAATGCTGGTTGTTGCTGAGGTAAGCCAAAGGGGTGGTGGTGGCAGCACTCTCTCCCATGGAGAATCCCCATGTGTGGGAAGGGAAGGCTGGGGTGGAATCCTCAGTCTGCTGTGTCTGCAGCACTGGACGCCTCCCAGGGCTGGCAGAAACCTTGGGAGTAGCTCCCCAAGCACAGTCGCACCTCTGTGGGTTTCGATGTTTCTGCTTCTCAATGTTCTCTCTTTTTTCCTGCCTGCTTGCCTGCCTTTGGGACCTCTTGCTGTCTAGGGTGGCAGATGAAGCTTTCTACAAACAACCCTTCGCTGACGTGATTGGTTATGTGTATGTTGCCAAACTAATTCCTTTTCTTGTTTGATTCTTTCTACTTTGTCTTTAGAATTAATGCTCCTTTTATGTCACAAGTTGCTTTGCTTTTAAAATTATTTCAAGTTGGCACTGTGGGGGCTGCCTAAGAGTTGATAAGTTGGGGTTTGAGCCATTAATGATCTTGTAGAATTATGACTCCTTGTACCCCTCTGATAGCCATTTTTCATATTTGGGGTTTTGGAGGGGAGAAGGCCGGAAGTGTGGGTTATTCATGAGCTTGTCCAGGAAGGTCTGAGGCTTGGATGGATGCTGACCTCTTGCTGTTGCTTGCCACCACTGCTGCCACCAGTACCCTGTTGCCTGCCTGCCCCAGGTGGGAAGGAAGTCTCTCCACCTGGGAGCAGGTGGAAATCCAAGTTAGGAGCCAACAGCACCTCACATGGCCAGGGTTGGAGCTGTGGGGACTAGCGTTTTCCATACTTGATTCCTTCAAAGAGTGGGAGATCGGTTCCTCCCTCAGGCAGAAGAGCCTAGAGGGGGTGAGCTCTGATGGGTGCCTGTCACTGTTTCTCTATGGTCTTAGATGTCAGAGATGGCTGTTTAGTGGCTAAATTCTGATGCCCTAAACCACACACACACACACACACACACACACACACACACACCTCAAGCACAAAGAGGCCTCCACCTTTAAGGTCAAGACAGCCATAGCTGTCTGAAATGGGCCACTTTGCAAACTCCTAACTCCCCCAAAAGGAAAACTGCATGTTCTCTGGAAAAGTTTTTTTTGTTTAAGGATTCCCGTATCTAAAGTAATATTGCCAAAGACTTGGAACAGTTTTTCGCTGTTTCCCCCTTAACAATTAGGGCCAACTCTTTATGCTTATGAGGGTGGAGGAGGAGAGGAACCTGTGGAAGGTGAGCGACAGGCTGCAATCTGAAGAGTCGCTTAGGGCCTATGACCTTGAGATGTCCATCCCATTGGAAGACAGACCTGGCTTCTTGGGCCCCCGGATGCATTTGCGATGAGACGTGTGAAATGCTGGACTTACAGGTGGTGTTTGATTTGATTTTTGCACACTCTCTCTGGAGTAGAAATGGAGACTGGAAAGGTCGAGTCTGGATTTGCTGGGCAGCAGGGTGGCCCGGCAAAGCCAGCTGCACGTTCCCAAGCACAGACAGAGTGGCAAGGGCATGTCTAGCTTACTGACCATCTGCATTGAGCTCATTCTCATCTTCTATATCTGACCTAAAGTTTCTCTCCTTGTTTCTTTTCTTCTCTTCACCTTTAAGCACAAACATAAACCATCCTTGCTACAGCCTAGAACAGTTAAGTAAACCTTTCTCACTGCCCTAACTGTGTGTGCCATGAAGTCGCAGTGTTGTAGTGGCTCCAGGCTTCAGCAGTGTTTGCCACAGCCATCCCTGTGATAGTGCCACCCCTCTGTTGCCACAGACCAGTCATCTCCATCGCTTCTGCTTTGCCCGTGATGCTTGTTGGAGTAGATGAATACACTGTGTCTTCCTGCCTCTTACCACTGTCCTCTCGGGCTGTAGTTCCCACCTGTTAGTTCCCTCTGGGGGTGGGCTGGCCTTGATGTGCAAAAACGTTGGAGCAGCCTCCTGCCAAAAAGCAGCTAACGTTGGCCCTCCTGCCAGAGTTTGCCCTGAGAGGCCCAAAGCAGCTGGCTGGAGGGAAAGTGGCAAACTTTTGGCTGAACTGGAGAATGTCCTCCCAAACCCCTATCCAGAATGGCTTTAGTCTCTAGTGCCTGCTAGCATGGGAGCTTTGTCTTGAATTCCTGTTGATCTGCCCTGTTTCTCTCCAGCCTTAGGAATAAATCTAGAGGGTATTGTGCAATGACCTGTGGGCTTTGTAGAAGTCTCTGATTTCCTTGAAACTCAGTACAGCTCAGTGCAAACTGCTCTTCAAGTTCTTGACCAGCCTGCTGCTTTGCTTTTGTTTATAAAAGCAGTGAGTAGCTGGCTAAGGACAGGCATTTTTTTTTTTAATGCTCCATATGAGCAGAGATGGCTAGACGAGAGACAGAGTGAGCCCTGAACCAAACACCTGTATTCCAACATTTTACACAGCACTCTGTACACCGTGTGCTAGGAGAGCAGGCCACATGTCTATCCCTGAGTCTGACCTGGGCCAGGGGCTCTTAATTCTCAAGAAAGCCAGAATGCCATTTAGTCAGGGAGGAAGAGGCAGTTGCTTCTATAGCAAAGCAGCGGCCAGGTTGTTCAGAAAGGGTTGTACATTAAACCAACGTATTCTGTCATTGCTTCCAGGGCAGCAGAAGAAGCCTTTGTAAACGACATTGACGAGTCATCCCCAGGCACAGAGTGGGAACGGGTGGCCCGGCTGTGTGACTTTAACCCCAAGTCCAGCAAGCAGGCCAAAGATGTCTCTCGCATGCGCTCAGTTCTCATCTCCCTCAAGCAGGCCCCCCTGGTACACTGAAGAGCCACCTGTGGAAACACTACATCTGCAATATCTTAATCCTACTCAGTGAAGCTGTTCACAGTAATTGGATTGATTATGTTGAGTTCTTTTGGACCAAACCTTTTGTCTTTAGAGTTGATCATTGTTTGTGATTGCATGTTTCCTTCAACTGTGTTCTCCCTGGCATTCAGAGAGGAGGGGGGAGGAGGAAGAGGAAGGGAGAGAAACCTCCCAACAGTAGCCTCAACCTGTGCTTTTGTGCATTATTCTGAGAATAAATTTCTGTTTCAAACAATGTACATAAAGAATCTTGATTGATCTCAAGGTGTGTTGCAGTTTGCAGTAAGGCATGGGAATGAGGAACTAACTTTGATCATTCCTAGGGCTAAGGAGGCACGGTCATTGAGCACCCTTCCCTGCCATTGGCCACTCACCTGCCTTGAACAAAGGTAGCTCCAAATTTGCCTACCATGGAGATTGTCATTTGAAAAGGAAATTTCATGGCTAAAAGTTAACCCTCACTACCTAACACAGCTATGAATTTTCTCACCAGCCTAAACATTGCCCTAGATGGGCTCATTTGTCACTGTCCCTTAGTTTAGGGTCTTGAATGGTATATTTTCAGCTGGAGGCTATCTGGGAATGCAGGCATAGAAAGGCCTTTAGTCCTTTTGGTTAAACCAGTAAGCCCAAGTCAGGGTAACTAGTGTGTGGCTGGCCCCATTCCCCTTATTCCCATAGCACATGTTGGGGTCTTCACCCTCCCAGCCACTTCATTTAGGTTTCTGTTATAAAATAATTCACCTAGACCCATGCTGTCTAATATAGTGTTCACTGGGCACTTGTGGTTATTGAAATTTAAACTAATGAAAATTCAAAATTTCTACGACCAGCAGGTAAATGGTGGTTAAGGTGCTGCATCCCACAGGGCCAACTCCACAGTTCAAGTCTCAGGCCTAGCAGCTTGAAAAACATACCAGGGTGTGAGTGCATGCATGCCCAAAATCCTGAGAGAATGGAGAAGGGATTCTGGTGTGGCCATACCATCTGGAGAGTGATTTCTCACTTTCTCCTTTGTCTGTCTCCGGTGAGTACATGTGCCCTATGGCAAAAATCTGAAAAAAAGAAAAAACATTTCTGCCCTGCCATGGTGGTATAGGTGGTGTGCCACTGCAATTCTGAAGACATCCTGGAAGATCCTGGGTTCATTTCCCAGGTCAGCCTAAATACATAGGGTGCACGGTGATGCTGGCTGGCTAGAATGCCAGAGATAGGATCATGACATGACAAGACCCTACTGGGGGTCCTTGTTTCTCCTCCCATCTCATGAAAGAGATAAAAAAAACAAACAAAAACTTTGTTTCTAGCCCAAGTCACATTTCATAGCCATTAGGCATCAACTGAATTGGACAAAACATATTATATTACAGAACATTCTGTCATCTCAACAAGCTCTATATTGGATGGCACTTTTTTTTTTTTTTTTTTTTTTTAAGATTTTTGCTATAGGACATGTGTGCTTGCTGCAAAGTGAGAAATCACCCTCTCTAGGGAGGATGGCTCCTTCGCAATCCCTTTTCCTCCATTCTCCTCTTGGGATTTTGGGCATGCATGCACACATGCCCAGCGTGAATTTATGTCACCGGATCCAGGACTCAAACCATGGGAGTCCAGCAATGTAAGCATTACGCCATCTGCTGGTCCCAGATGGCACTAATCCATACAACAGTTTCTTCCAGGATACCATGTCCATCCAGGCATCAATACATTCATTATCCACTCTTAGAACCTGGCACAGTACCTGGCATGTTGTAGGTGATATTTCAAGTAATTAATAAGGTCATATTTCAGTAATCTGCTCATAGTTACCTGGTATTTCCAAATTGGAGGTTGAGATAAACTGTAATACCATACTCAGGATGGGGGTTAGGTCTCCCATTGCCGAGAAAGGAAGCCCCTCATCTCTAATGCTGTTAATGTTTGGATGGGAGAGGAACTTTATTTTCCTTCTACCTTCCCCTTCCAAGCTTATTAGCTGGGTTTTCTTTGATCTGGCTCATATTTCTGGCTTCTTGCTCATTTCCCTCCCCTTTAACCATCCCTTGAATACACTTATTTGTTACTACTGGGCTTTGCTAATGCCATTCAAATGTCAAAATTAATCATTTAAGAACTAGAATTCCTATGGCCTTCTACCTGAGGCAGCTTGCTTTTTGGTATTGTCTTGGCACCATCACCTGGATCAGTCTTAATGTCCCACAGCAAACGGGCTTCTTGAGGGAGATGTGGCAGCTTTAAAATGTCAACAATACTGACATTCTCCAGATTGAGATGATTGGATGATGGGTGATGCTGTGTGACTTCCAAGACTTTCATAAAAAGACAATGTTAGCTTATGGTTGGTTTGCTGAAACATACCAGCTGAAAACCTAAGCTACCAGCTAAAAATCGGCCATCCCAAAGCTGCCATGCTGTGAGGAAGCCCAAAGTAGCCTGCACAGAGAGATCACCTGAGTGACCCTAAATTGCATTGTCGGGAAGGTCATGATGCATTTTTGCATAGAAAAACACAGCAAAATATGTCATGACTTTACCAACAAACGAATACATGCAGGGAGAGATGCTCGTTCAGTCCTTGTAGGTGTTGTTCCAGCCTCCTGTAAATCCAGCTTCAGGCACTAAGAACAAGTGCAACATACTCTTGAGTTAAACTTTTCCCAGAGTCCTGACCCACAGAAACCATGAGAGAGAAAGCAATTACTGTTTTACTTTCACAATCCAAGTTTAGAGGTGGTTTGTTACACAGCAGTAGTAATTTGGGATCATTTCTGATGCCTATTACTACTCACTTAGGGCTTCATAAATGCAGGTGCATTTCTTAGTTTGAAAACTCTTGGGGCCACTTGGTTATTTATACTACAATTTCAATGTTATACCAAAAAAAATTTTTTGGAGGGACCAGCAGTAATGGCTATGTCGCTGGACTCCCATATAGTCGACTGTGGTTTGAATCCCGGACCCGGTGGCTTAACCTCACGCTGGACACGTGTGTGTGTATGCCCAAGATCCTGAGAGGAGAATGGAAGAGAAGGGATTGCGGCATGGCCATCCCCACCGGCCCCCCCCCGGGGGATGATTTCTGGCTTTCTGTCTTTCTGGTGAGCGCACACTCCCTATAATAAAAACCTCTCCAAAAAATTTTTGGAGAAGTTTTTGCTGTAGGGCGTGTGCGCTCGCCAGAAAGAAACAAAGAGAGAAATCACCCCCCGGGGGAGGATGGCCATGCCGCAGTCCCTTCTCCTTCATTCTCCTCTTGGGATTTTGGGCACACATGTACACACACCTAGTGTGAGTTTAAGCCACCAGGTCTAGGACTCGAACTGTGGTCAACTATATGGGAGTCTGGTGACATAGCCATTATGCCACCTGCTGGTCCCTCAATTTTTTTCTACTAATAGTTTTTTTTTGCTTTGTTTTGTCTTTGGTTAAGAAAGCAATGATACTATACGCCATAAGGAATTTATATAACCTTCAAAAGCAAGCAATGAAACAGTTTAAATCTGAGAAGGGCCATGCTTTTAGATAGTGAGGTCATTAAAAACAATACAAAATAACTTAGATTTCAACAAGGAAATGTATTTATTTTTCTTTAGATCTAATTTGGTTCAGAACAGTAACATAAAAATATTTACATTAAAATAAATTAAGATGTGATTATTTAACCCTATGAAATAATTTATGTTGGAATATATTAACCTTTCCATGAAATTAATAAAAACTAAGATTTGGCTTGAGATTCATTACCACCCTTCAGATATTTGGTATGAACCTTAGTAACAATGCAATTGTTTGATCAGCTACAGATTTCATCCATGAAAGGCCGATGCCCCTTCACAGTATACCACCAGCTGCCACCAGCTGCACCATTCATGGCTCAGCAGCCAAGCTTCCTCCCCAGGAGTCTCCATGGAATGTCTGAATAATGAGGAGGCCCTGGACATTATTTAATGGCCAGTAGAGTTCTAGAAATCAGCCAACCTAGATTTTTCACCAAACTCACTAAGAAGGAGGTTCAAATACAATGATGATTCTTTCAGTTGATTTTCTATGTTAACACTGAAACATCACATTAAATAAACCTTTAGGGTTTCTTAAAACAAAAACAATCTGAAAACTATACGCATAAGCTTGTTTTAGATCTAAAACTACCCATTAAACCTGTCACTAGACTGAATACTGTACTGGCAAATTTCCATAGCAGGAATATCTGATTAAATTCACAGCTGAGAGATAGGGTCAAGAATTGAGTCATTTGCAAATCATTTATTAAAGTTCTTGGTAGCCTAGAGTACCATTTAGAAGTGTTTTTGAAATGAGAGGTTGTATAGCTTAGAAGGAGGGACCTGGGGATCAAGTGCTCTAAGACCCCCTTATCCCCATAGCTTTAAATATGTTGCTTAAACTAAGTCTTGGGTTCTGTAAAGGGGACAGTAAAACACCTGTTTAACAGATTGTGAAAATCTAGGATAATGTATATGAAGCACAAGTTCAGAGCCTGGCACACAGGTACTTAAAAGTTGTGGCTGTTAGTATTTCTTCTAGGTTGCCATCAATAGTCCAAACTTTGGCTTCTGTATTTTGACATCAGTGAAAGAATAGATTTTTTTTCTCTTTAAAATTTTACCAGAGGGTATGTGTGCTCACTGGAGAGAGGGGGGGAGTGAGAAAGCACCCTCTAGAGAGAATGGTCACACTGCAATTCTTTCTCCTCCATTCCTCTTGGGATTTTAGGTATGCATGTACACATACCTGCTCCAGGACTTGAATAGCACAGTCAGCCATGTGGGACTCAGCCGCCTTAACTACCAGGCCATGGGCTGGCCCAGAAAGCATGGATTTTTATTTAGCCAGAATCCAGATTCATGGATGTGGGCTCTAGGCTGCCTGGAACAGAGACACTCTAGGGTCATTTTCAGCTGAGAATAAAAAGCTATGAAGGGAAAGGTGTCTGCTATTCCAGTAGCAAAGATCCTTTGGGGACAGTTAATCTTTCAGAGGCTTTAAGTGCTAGCAGCTCCTCAGCTGTCCCTAAGGACAAGGTCACTAAGGCCATTGTAATTTAAATCCCTGATCTGAAGTCTCTTACAAGTTTTGCTACAGTAATACCAACGGCTTTCAACAAATGACATTGGGGGTAATATTTATATCAATGTCTTGACTGTGGTTCTATGTGTCAAAGCTTACCAAATAGGGACCACCAGTTAGCATAATGGCTATGTCGCTGGACTCCCATGCAGTCGACTACGGTTCGCGTCCTGGACCCAGTGGCTTAAAACTCATGCCGGGTGCGTATGCGTGCATGCCCAAGATCCCGAGAGGAGAATGGAGGAGAAGGGGTTGTGGCTTGGCCATCCCTCCTGGGGGGTGATTTCTCGCTTTCTATCTCTCTGTCTCTGTCTGTCTGGCAAGTGCATGCTCCCTATGGCAAAAGAAAAGCTCCCCCCATAAGAAAAGCTTACCACATGATAGACTTAAAAAAAAACCCTTCAATAAAGCTGATTTTAAAAAGAAAAATTTACTTAACCCTTTCTGTTCCCCGACTGGACTCCTCCCTGTGATCAAAGTTGAGGGTTAAAGAAGGAAGGGTTATTAATCCACATTCCAGTATGAAACTTACCTCCCAAGCAAGACTGCAAGCCTGAGAGTGGTACATTAGTAAGCAGGTCATAAGGCGCCCTCTTATTACTGTAGCTCCTTTTGGCACAAAAGATTGACTGCAACTTACAGGGTTAGGGCTAAAATGACCCCTCTTAGGAAAACACCAGAAAAAGCATCTACACAAGTGGGGGTTGGGAAGGTAACTTTGGAAAAGCCAAAAAAGCAAAACTATTTCTCTGCCAAAGTGGCCTGCAGTCAAATACCAAATTTGCTTTTTAAGAAATCATCTAAAAGACAACTTGATTACACTAAGGAGCTTTTGAGTCTCGGTCCATGTCCACTCTGGAAGGCCTAGTAGATCCTGCGAGTTGTGTAGTCCAGAACCATGCTGGCAGCACCCAGCAGTGCGGGGTCAGCCAGATCCGAAACCACCACGTCCACATCCTGTACTGAGGACAAGGCTTGCTGGCGGATGACATCTTTCACAATGTGGATATAGTGACTGGCCAGGACTCCAGAGAGGATCACGAGGGAAGGATTCATAGTGTGGAGGATGTTCACAACCCCAAGACCCAGAGCCGTTCCAGCTGTGGAAGAAAAGATTCAGTTTCTGGGACAGAGGTAAATTAGAAACACCAAAAGGAGAGTAGAGACAGGAGCCAGAAAAGCTAAAGCACATCTGCACTATGTAGTGCAAGCAATGTTCTGAAAATTTTTCATAATTTTTGCTTTCTTTTTTTTTTTTTTTTTAAATTTCCAGGCAATATGCTTGCCAGAGACAGTTTGAGAAAGCAAAAAAAGCACCTTCCACGGGGAATGGTGATGCCATAATCCTTTCTCCTCCATTTATCTCCTCTGTCAGGATTTTGGGCACACACACCCAGGAAATTTGTAAGCCACCATTTCTAGGACTTGAACCACATGGTTGGCCATGTGGTATCCAGCCACCTTAACCTCCAGGCCATAGGCTGACCCCATGCTTTATTCTTAATATGAAAAAATGATGGGAACCTGCAGTTAGCGTAATGGCAATGTCGCTGGACTCCCATGTAGTCTACCATTGTTACCATGGTTCACGTCCCGGACCTGGTGGCTTAAAACTCACACTGGGCGCGTGTGCGTGCGTGCCCAAGATCCCGAGAGGAGAATGGAGAAGGGATTGCGGCATGACCATCCCCCCTGGGGGGTGATTTCTTGCTTTCTGTCTCTATGTCTCTGTCTGGCGAGCGCACGTGCCCTATAGTGAAAACCTCTCCAAAAAAAATAGATCATGTGAGATCTTGAAGTAAAGCTATACAAGAGGATTTCAAAAAGTTCGTAAGAATGGACTTAAAAGTATTTTGGTACCCAAAAAATTAAATCCATGCATAGCTTTTTCATAATATCCATTTTCCATTAAAAAAAATTTTTAGAGAGATTTTTGCTATAGGGCACCTGCACTTGCCCAAGAGACAGAGAAATCACCCCCCAGGGAGGATGACCACACTGCAGTCTTTTCTCCTCCATTCTCCTCTCAGGATTTTGGTCACACATGCCCACACATCTGGCATGAGTTTCAAGCTGCTGGGTCCAGGACTTGAACCATTGTTGGCTACGTGGGAGTCCAGAAATGTAATCATTACACCATCTGCTGTTCCCTCCATTAACTTTTTTTTTTAAAAAAAGAGAGATTGTTGCTATAGGGCATGTGTGCTCACCAGAGAAACAGGGAAAGACAGAAAAAGACAAAAAGTGGGAAATCACCCCTTCCCCCCGGGGGGATGGCCACGCCACAATCTCTTCTCCTCCTGGGATTTTGGGCACACACGAACATGTTTCTGGCATAAGTTTTAAGTCACCAGATCCAGAACTCAAAACAGTGGTTGACTACATGTGAGTCCAGTGACGTAACCGTTGCGCCATCTGCTGGTCCCTCCTCTCCATGAACTTTTTTAAAGACCCCTTGATTATACTACATGATTTCAACTATGTGAGAAAGTGGAATAGTAAAAATGAATAGACTAGAAAGAAACTGTTAATAGTTGCTATTTTTGAACAGTAAAACTTTTTTTTTTTTGGAGAGATTTTTACTATAGGGCACGTGCACTCGCCAGACAGAGAGAGACAGAAAGCCAGAAATCACCCCCCCCCAGGGGGGATGGCCACGCTGCAATCCCTTCTCCTCCATTCTCCTCTTGGGATCTTGGGCATGCACGCACGCGCGCCCAGCGTGAATTTAAGCCACCGGGTCCAGGACTCGAACCACAGTCGACTATGTGTGAGTCCAGCGACATGGCCATTACACTAACTGCTGGTCCCGAACAATAAAACTCTTAAGTGTTACTTTTCTTACTACTCTCCTATATTCTCTAAATTTAAATGAAATGAAGTAAAAATGGACAAGTAGTATTTCCAGAGTTGTAAAACCAAACCAGAAACCTGTTTAAAAAGGCAATGCTGGGAACTAGCAGTTAGCGTAATGGCTATGTCGCTGGACTCCCACGTAGTCAACCGCGGTTCGCTTCCCGGACCCGGTGGCTTAAAACTCATGCTGGGCGCGTGTGTGTGCATGCCCAAGATCCCGAGAGGAGAATGGAGGAGAAGGGATTGCGGCATGACCATCTCCCCTGGGGGGTGATTTCTCACTTTCTGTCTCTCTGTCTGTCTCTGTCTGTCTGGCGAGCGCACGCATCCTATAGCAAAAACCTCTCCAAAAAAAAAAAAAGATAAGAAAAAAAGGCAATGCTGTCAAACACCTGAACGTTAACTCTTCTTCTCTCAGTGAACAAAGAAAATAGCTCTGGGGGGATGCAGAACACTAGTCCCCTGAAGCGGGAAGCTGGGTCTTTGCTGAGCTCTCGGATGTCTTGGCCACCCCCCTACAGCACAGCTACGGGAACCACTCGCTCACTCACTCACTCACCTGTTTTTGTTTTTTAAGAATTATTTAATTTTATTCATTATTATTCTTCAATTTGACCACAGAGAGAAAGAGAGAGAGAGAGAGAGAAAGAGAGTGAGAAAGCAAGCTGCCAGGTCTGAGACTTGAACCATGGTCAGCCATGTGGGAGTCCAGTGCTTCAACCACCACACCATCTGCCAGCCCCTCTCACCTGTTCTTAAGATGCTCTGGGCCTTCGCGTTGCCAAGTTTCGCTGCTTGGATGAGGTGGAGAGCACCCACAGCTTCGTCTTTTGGCACTGACATCCCTTCCACCAAGAGCAGGTCCTCTGAGTGGAGTGAGAAGCAATTAATAAACTGTGGGCAGGCCGGGCTTACACCTGTGCCCGCGAACAGCAAGCCCCTAACCTAAGAAAAGACTTCACAACTGCAGTTGTGTTGTTCACAAACATCTATCTACATTGCCCCTGAAGCTGTTGCTGCCCTCTTGCTACATAATCTCTCACGGAAAGATTTTCAAATCTGACCAAAGTCTCTCAGCCCTCCAGCTCCCTCACTTCTCACTTCCAGTATCAGACAGGGTCCTTAAAGAGTTCTTTCCCCCCAAGTTACCAGACTGCTTCCACATCACCTGCATCCTCATCTCCCCCAGAAACCATGCTGCTGTGATCACCAGTGCCCGTGTACAGCAGTGAGACATGGCAGCCAGGACAATCAGGGTGGGTTCAGTCCTAGCTCTGCAACTAGCAGCTGCGTGGCCCTGTCATGTCACACGTCTACATCTCTCTTCTAGACAGTAATGCCTATGTGTGTAATTCTTCTAGGGATTAAACAAAATAGCATAAAGTACTTAGTTAAGTGCAGATCGGAGTAAATGCTAAACAGTGGATATTTCTGTTGTTACCTGTAGTTCTTATCTTTCTGCCACTCGCCAAAGCAGATCAGCATGCTCCCAACTGCAATGATACTGGGCTCTGGAGAACTGCCCGGCCAGTCCTCTCTCCCACTCTCCCTCACTGCTCCTCGCTGCCTTCACCACTTCCTCCTCCATCTCATCCCCTCCCCTGCTCCAATGGCTTTCCATCCTTCCTGCCTCCCAGGAAAAGGACTCTACCAGGGGCGATTCCCTTCCTTCTCTGTCCCGCCTATAAACCAACAGCATCTGCACATCTTGCTCTTCTTTCCCTCTCGTGGGCCCTTGTCTCTCCAACCTCTTCAAGCTCCCTGCCACAGGGGCTTCATACACTTGATCTTCCGCATTCTCAACCTCTGTGTTCATTCCCATTTACAAACGGGTCTTAGGGGCAAGAAAAACTTCCTCTTTGTAGATAAGCACAGATGTGCGTACAGTACCTGTGGTGTTAAAGCTGCGTGGAGGAGGAACAATTACAGGGGTGATACTGAAACCAAGGTTAAAAAATAAACACTACTTTAAAGGTCTCAAATGATGGCCTTGTGGCCAGAGCCAGTGAGCTTTTCCAGTTTCCTCTCACAGTGCTTGGTATTCCCTCTTCCTCCAAACACTCTCCCCACTTCGGCTTCAGCAACAACGTTTCCCTTTTCTGGTTGTCATCTGGTCTCTCTGCCCCTCAGACGCTCATGTTCTTCAGGATGGGATATTATTATTATTTGCCTCACCCCCTGGGTCTCCTTCACACTTTAGCACCTCAATGCCAACGATTCCCCAGTCCCACTCTCCAGACCAGCCCTCTCTCCTGAGCAACACACCTGTGTCCAGGTGCCTCCTGGCATCTCTGTCTGGATGCCCAACAGGCACCCAACCGTCACCTTACACCTAAACCTGTTCCTCCTCTTGTATTCCTACATCCCGAGAGGAGAATGGAGGAGAAGGGATTGCGGCATGACCATCTCCCCTGGGGGGTGATTTCTCACTTTCTGTCTCTCTGTCTGTCTCTGTCTGTCTGGCGAGCGCACGCATCCTATAGCAAAAACCTCTCCAAAAAAAAAAAAAGATAAGAAAAAAAGGCAATGCTGTCAAACACCTGAACGTTAACTCTTCTTCTCTCAGTGAACAAAGAAAATAGCTCTGGGGAGATGCAGAACACTAGTCCCCTGAAGCGGGAAGCTGGGTCTTTGCTGAGCTCTCGGATGTCTTGGCCACCCCCCTACAGCACAGCTACGGGAACCACTCGCTCACTCACTCACTCACCTGTTTTTGTTTTTTAAGAATTATTTAATTTTATTCATTATTATTCTTCAATTTGACCACAGAGAGAAAGAGAGAGAGAGAGAGAGAAAGAGAGTGAGAAAGCAAGCTGCCAGGTCTGAGACTTGAACCATGGTCAGCCATGTGGGAGTCCAGTGCTTCAACCACCACACCATCTGCCAGCCCCTCTCACCTGTTCTTAAGATGCTCTGGGCCTTCGCGTTGCCAAGTTTCGCTGCTTGGATGAGGTGGAGAGCACCCACAGCTTCGTCTTTTGGCACTGACATCCCTTCCACCAAGAGCAGGTCCTCTGAGTGGAGTGAGAAGCAATTAATAAACTGTGGGCAGGCCGGGCTTACACCTGTGCCCGCGAACAGCAAGCCCCTAACCTAAGAAAAGACTTCACAACTGCAGTTGTGTTGTTCACAAACATCTATCTACATTGCCCCTGAAGCTGTTGCTGCCCTCTTGCTACATAATCTCTCACGGGAAGATTTTCAAATCTGACCAGTCTCTCAGCCCTCCAGCTCCCTCACTTCTCACTTCCAGTATCAGACAGGGTCCTTAAAGAGTTCTTTCCCCCCAAGTTACCAGACTGCTTCCACATCACCTGCATCCTCATCTCCCCCAGAAACCATGCTGCTGTGATCACCAGTGCCCGTGTACAGCAGTGAGACATGGCAGCCAGGACAATCAGGGTGGGTTCAGTCCTAGCTCTGCAACTAGCAGCTGCGTGGCCCTGTCATGTCACACGTCTACATCTCTCTTCTAGACAGTAATGCCTATGTGTGTAATTCTTCTAGGGATTAAACAAAATAGCATAAAGTACTTAGTTAAGTGCAGATCGGAGTAAATGCTAAACAGTGGATATTTCTGTTGTTACCTGTAGTTCTTATCTTTCTGCCACTCGCCAAAGCAGATCAGCATGCTCCCAACTGCAATGATACTGGGCTCTGGAGAACTGCCCGGCCAGTCCTCTCTCCCACTCTCCCTCACTGCTCCTCGCTGCCTTCACCACTTCCTCCTCCATCTCATCCCCTCCCCTGCTCCAATGGCTTTCCATCCTTCCTGCCTCCCAGGAAAAGGACTCTACCAGGGGCGATTCCCTTCCTTCTCTGTCCCGCCTATAAACCAACAGCATCTGCACATCTTGCTCTTCTTTCCCTCTCGTGGGCCCTTGTCTCTCCAACCTCTTCAAGCTCCCTGCCACAGGGGCTTCATACACTTGATCTTCCGCATTCTCAACCTCTGTGTTCATTCCCATTTACAAACGGGTCTTAGGGGCAAGAAAAACTTCCTCTTTGTAGATAAGCACAGATGTGCGTACAGTACCTGTGGTGTTAAAGCTGCGTGGAGGAGGAACAATTACAGGGGTGATACTGAAACCAAGGTTAAAAAATAAACACTACTTTAAAGGTCTCAAATGATGGCCTTGTGGCCAGAGCCAGTGAGCTTTTCCAGTTTCCTCTCACAGTGCTTGGTATTCCCTCTTCCTCCAAACACTCTCCCCACTTCGGCTTCAGCAACAACGTTTCCCTTTTCTGGTTGTCATCTGGTCTCTCTGCCCCTCAGACGCTCATGTTCTTCAGGATGGGATATTATTATTATTTGCCTCACCCCCTGGGTCTCCTTCACACTTTAGCACCTCAATGCCAACGATTCCCCAGTCCCACTCTCCAGACCAGCCCTCTCTCCTGAGCAACACACCTGTGTCCAGGTGCCTCCTGGCATCTCTGTCTGGATGCCCAACAGGCACCCAACCGTCACCTTACACCTAAACCTGTTCCTCCTCTTGTATTCCTACCCCGGGCCATCCGACCAGAAAACTGGAACTTACTTTACAACTGTCCTGTTGAAAGCCCTCTATTCATCTACCGTATCCCAATGTGACAAGAAGTTACAGTTTAGCAAAGAATCTAAAATTCAGGCCTAGCCTTGTCTTCCCCCAACTTCATCACCTCTGGTCCTAGCATCCGTCTTGGAGCGCCCTGCCTGGCCTTGCCACATGCCCCAACACTAATGTTAACATGCCCGGAAAAGCTCCCAGGCCGTCCAGTCTTGCCTGGCTAATTCTACTGGCCTCTGACTCTCAGCCTCTCAACCCCCTGACAATACCCTGGCACTCCCTTTCTGCATGGAGAGGCGGGAGGGAACTCCGGTGTCTCTCAGCCCACATTGTCATTGCACTTGGCACACTATATTATAATGCTATTAAATGACCAGAAGTCATCCTCACTTTCATAACATGGCCAGAACTTTCATTTCAATAGATCCTTCAGGTTCAAAAGCTGTAACGTGTTCATCCTTTTATTTCTCCAAGAAAATGTACATATGAAGTGCACACCTGTGCGAGTGTCTGAGAAAACAAAAAGGAAAGGTAGTCTTTCCTTACTTTGGAGCTCCAGGCTCTTGTCCACTTCCACCTCTGGAGAGGAAGGGTACAAATATGGGTCAGGACCAAAGATACCTTGGAGCCTAATTATAAGGGATCCTGTTCTTCCTCTAGGAAGTAAAATGGTTAAAAGTTCTGGCTCATTGTCACCTCTCTTGGGAATCTACTTAGAAGTAAGAACTTCTCTGCCACTTGGTTCTTAATTCCTCAGGAAAAGATACCAACCATCATGAAGCTTTTTTGCTTCCCTCTGCAAGGCCATTCCAGAGGCATAGGCTTCAATACACCCATGGCTTCCACAGGAACAGTCAGGCCCACCCAGAGACACAACAAGGTGGCCAAGTTCTGCAGCACAGAAGGAGCTTCCATGGATCAATTCATGCTGATGGATGATTCCACCACCAATTCCTACAGCGAGAAAAAAAATCCCTAAGGTACTCTTCATCTAAGACAAAACTATGGTATGGCAATGCCTCATCTGTTTGGCAAAGCTTTGGAATATAAGATCCTATATATGAGCCGGCAGGTATCATGGTGGTTAAGGCATCTGGATTCCTACATGGCTGACCGTGGTTCAAGTCCTAGACCTGACAGCTCACTTTCTCACTGTCCTTCTCTCTGTCTCTCGCTGGTCAACTCTAAAAAATAAAATAATAAAATAATGACAGTGAATAAAATTAAATTCTTTTAAAAATAGCCTATATAATGCCTGCTTTTCCAGACAGTTGAAGCTTACTACACAACGAAACTATGTGGCAGGATTTTGGATGGAAATACTTTCAGCTGATCCTCTGATGCCCTGTGTCACATCTGCTTGTCTCACTACGATTTCAGACTCGGCTGTGACGGAGAGTTCAGTGCAAGCTTAGACTCACCTGGTGTCACCGCATTCCCCTCAGGCAGATGCTGCGAGGCCTTCTCCATCATTAAAGCATGAGCCTAGTCAGCCATGCAGGCACAATGTCCCAGGGGCAACCCTCAATGCAAGGCAAGAGCCACCAGACACAAGTGGACCATTGTGGATGATGTTCTGCAGGCTTCTTCGGAGGTTCTGGTAGATTTCAGCCTGCGCTGCCCTCAAGGTGACTCCAGTAATCCACACTTCAGTGGCTTTCCTTCTACTCTTGCTTTTCCTGCTCTTTAGCTCCTTCTCAGAATGACCTCTCAGAGAAAACACCCGTACTAAAGTCCTTGTCTCAGGCCCTGCTTTGAAGGAACCCAAGATAAGGTGATCTAATAAAATGTACCACACACCACCTGCTATCTGAAGTTGAGAATATGAAATCGATTTTGCCTTCTCTTGATGCTGCCATGTCTAAAAGTCTATTCAATAATTATGAATATCAATGACTACCTTGTTAGGAAGTTTAGGAGTTACTAAGGAGTAAAGGGTGCTCTGCCTTTGAAGACTCTGCTTTTAGGAGTTGTTCTGCAGGGGCCAGCAGGAGCCATGGTGGCTAAGGTGCTGGATTCCCCACATGGCAGACCATGGTTTGAGTCCTGGACCCACCAGTTTGCAAGTCATGCCAGGAGTGTGTGCATGCATGCCCAAAATCCTGAGAGGAGAATGAAGAAGGAATTGTGGTGTGGCCATTTCCCCCCCGGAGGGGTGATTTCTCACTTTCCCTCTCTCTGACTCTCTCCATTAAGTACATTCACCCTATGGCAAAAACCTAAAAAAAAAAGGGGGGGGGGCTGTCATACCATCTATCGTTGCTAATGGCACCTATTCCTCACTCAACTTCCACCTCTCTGATTTGCAGCTTATTAACTATTCTTGGGTAAGAAGTGGAACCCAAGTTTACTGAAACTGTGTCTGAGACTAAGAGAGGAAGGGACATGAACTATAAAGTACAGGAGCCTGAAGGGAAGGGAGTGTAGAGTTGAGACTAAAGCACACATGTTTTAGAGTTAGATATATCTGAAGTCAAATGCTTGCTTAACCAATTACTTAGAGTGTTTCCTCGTTTTGAAAATAAACTGTTCACCTTAAATATATACAAAATAAAATGTTTTAAAACAAGAAAAAATAGGGACCAGCAGTTGTTGTAATGGCTATGTCACTGGACTCCCATGTAGTCGACCGACATTCAAGTCCCGGACTTGGTGGCTTAAACTCACTCTGGGCATGTGTGCGTGTGTGTGCCCAAGATCCTGAGAGGAGAATGGAGAAGGGATTGCATCGTGGCCATTCCCCCAGGAAGGGTGATTCCTCGCTTTCTGTCTCTCTGTCTGTCTCTCTCTGGCAAGCGCACACGCCTTACAGCAAAAACCTCTCCAATAAATAAATAAATTAATAAAACAAAATAAAATAAAATGAGAAAAAGTAATTGTTACTGCAGCAAAAATGACAGAATAGGAAACTTTACAAACCCATCCTACCACTAAGGCAATGCCTAAACACAAACTGTCAGAATCAACATTCTTGGGAACTCTGGAAACCGAAAGTTTTCAACAACCAGGGGACTGCTTAACCAATAGACAGAGCTGAGTTAAGAGCTTTCTGGTGTTTTAACTTACCCAGGTCCCATTACCCACTTGCCAGCTTGGTGGTGACCTCAGCCGGCCCACATCCCCAGTACTGGTGTACAGATACTAGTGCCAGAGGGGCAGAGAGAAGCTATTCTCAACATTGTGGTAGCCTGGTAACTCCCCAGGGGAGCAGTTCCAAAGGCTCGCTTTAATTTCACCTAACTCTCCCAGAGTGAGGAGTTACACAGACATTTGTCAAAAACATTTAAAGATAAAATTAGCCTCTGTTGTACAGACTAAAGGATAATAGTTGAGGCATACAGCTGACTAACCAAAAAAGGGAGGAAGAGCTTGGGAATGATGAGCTTTGGGGAATAAGAGCTCTGAATAGCTCTGGCAATTTCCTGGGAATATCAAAGTCCACACACTTGCCTAAGGCTAGGCATGGGCTCTGGGAATTTAAAAGGCCACACACTTGCCTAAGGCTAGGCATGGGCTCAGAAAAAACCCTGAGAAGGCCCTAAGCTCTCACTTGTGGCTCACTTTCAGGTACTCTCGAGTAGGAAGTGAAGACTTAGGCAGAGTTGTAACTGACTGATGGTGGTGAAAACTTGCCCCAACATACATTCTAGCTCCCTTAGCCCTCTTACCTGTGCCTGTGATGAGTGTAACAAAATTTTCCAATCCCTTTCCTTGGCCAAATTTCCGTTCTGCCAGGGCAGCACAGTTGCCATCATTGTCCACCCATACAGGGAGATGCAAAGTGTCAGACAGGGGGGTCCTGAGGTCCACAGAGTTCCATTCTTGGATCAGTTTGGTTGAATGCAGCACAATTCCTTCCCGAGGATTTACACGGCCACCTGTGGAAATGCCTGAGCTCCACCATAAATACAAGGAAAATAATTCTGGTTAGTAATCTTAGGAAAAGTGTGCCAACTTTACTGGCTCAGAACGCTAATTTACCCTTAATCTCCTAAAACAAAGATGACCAATAACTGCAGGGATTATTAGACAGTTCTGAGCTAAATCCACAACCCCCACATTTACAGAACCATTGGTGCTTCTCCTGTAACATTTGACAGTGTCCCAGGCCTGAGGCCTACAGAGAGGATCTGGAGCCAGCTGTACGCAGGGCAGGCCCTGACTTGATGTTCAGTCATGCGTCAGAACTTAGTAAAACTTTGTACATTAGGGTGGACATTTCTTAAATATGTAATTTACAATCTCACCTACTCCTAAAATTCTGCAGTTTAGTTTTACAGCTTCTGCTGCAGCTTCCACACACATCTGCAGGATTAAATTAATCCTCTCTTCATAGGTTTTAGGATTGAACTGAGTATACTTCTTAACTATTTCACCCTAAAATAGAGGGAAAACAAAAACAAAAAAACCACTGGTCTTAGTTTAGGAACGTACCAAGAATCTTTTGGCTCTTAAAAAAAAATGATGACAAGTCAGACATTGCTGTAAGACAGACAGCACTGGAGACTCAGACGGCTGCTCGGGGAGGGACACTGTTGGGATAAGGCCCAGTGACTTCCTGGAATCTACCTTGACAGAGCGCTGTTGAAGCAATGCCAACTACCGCTCAGAGGAGCTCCCTCTCTTTAGCTTAAGGTAAATATTGGCCAATCTGAATCTAATCATTTGGAGTTGATATTTTACAATTTGGAGTTGATAAACTTTTCTTGCTTTTCTTGTTAAGAGTAACTACATAGTTATGCTAAGTAGTTGTGCTTCAAGCATTTCTTGTACTTGAAACCAGTAATGGTATAGATACTCTCCCTGACTCAGGGTAACTTTCCATGCTGGCTAGCACAAATACCACATTGTTTAAATTAATGTGCTGTGTGATATGTTTTAATACCAAACAGGGATAGGCCCTTTTAATTACTCTTGTTTCAACACTTTTAGTTTGCTCATCTCATCTGTGTATTTTATTACTATTTTTTTTAGAGTTTTTTGCTATAGGGTGCATGTGCTTGCAGGAGAGACAAAGAGACAGAAAGTGAGAAATCACCCCCCACCCCCAGGGGAGATGGCCACGCCACAATCCTTTCTGCATTTTCCTCTCAGGATTTTGGGCATTCATGCACACGCGCCCAGTGTGAGTTTCAAGCCACCAGATCACATGTGAGGAGAATGGAGGAAAAGGGATGTGGCCATACCCTCAGGGGTTGATTTCTCATTTCGCTCTCACTGTCTCTCTCTCTCGTCTCTGGTGAGCACATGCACCCTAAGGCAAAAACCTCATAAATAAAAGAAAGGCCATTCCTTCACTCTTTGCAGATTTCCTCACCTGGATCATGACAGTAATCTGCATACTCCATATTCCATGCTTCTCCCAAGAACAGTTTCAGGTCACCTGGATGGCAAAAGCCCTCTGATGCCCACAGGGTCTCTCCATTGGCAACTGAAGCCTACTACCTTGAATTCACAGACAATTCTTTCTTTGAAATGTTACTGACTAGTAAAATAGACAAATATTATAATGGATCCAAAAATCTATGGGCAAATTATTACAAGCTCTTATGTATATTTCTAGTCCTCCCTTCTAACTATACTTATGTAAAGTCAGTTATTCACACGGGATACAAAGGGAGGAGCTCAGAGTTATTTTACCTTCATGCTGACTATTGCAACTCGGAGGTTCGTTCCACCAAGATCAACAGCCAAGGCACTGAGAGTTTCAAGAATATGGTCAATATCTTGAGAGATATTCTCTTTCACAGGAGGAAAGCAGAATTTCTTTTGTAGTGGCTCTTGAAGATCAATAGATTTGAGAAACTTCAAAATCCTTGGAACAGCATTTCCATCCCCATATATCTTTGAACTGCAATATCCAAAGAGTCAATGAAATTAAATGGTCAGCCATGCATGTTAAATGATATTGAGAGCATGGTTTAATAAAATCTGAGACTCGAGGTAAAAATCATTGGTGCCTTTTCCTTTTAAAATATATGTATACTTCTTTTTTTGTTTTTGTTACAGGGCACATGTGCTTGCTAGAGAAAGACAGACACTGATCACCTCCCAGGGGGATGGCCATGCCACAATCCATTTAGGACTTTGGGTACACATGACACGTGCCCAGAGTGATTTTCAAGCCACTGGGTCCAGGACTTGAACCACGGTCAGCCATATGGGAGTCCAGCACCTTAACCACTATGCCACCTACTGACCAAATATGTGTATACTTCAAAACATTATGTTGTACACAATAAATATATAACAGATTGAAGGTATGCTACAATACAGAGCAATAAGGAACAGAATTATATGGGCCAACAGTGGAGGTTAAGGTGCTGGATATATGTGGCCAGCTTCATAGTTCAAGTCCTGAACCTGGCAGCTTGAAAATCATGCTGGGTGTATGCATGTGTGTGGCCAAAATGCTGAGAGGAGAGAGGAGAAGGGATTATGGCATGGCCATCTCCCTGCGGGTGATTTCTTACTTTCCTTCTCACTGTCTCTCTCCAGGGAATGCATGAGCCCTATGACAAAAACCAAAACAGCAGGTGGCGTGGTGGTTAAGGCGTTGGCCACTCCCACATGGCCAACCACAGTTTGAGTCCTGGACCTGATGGCTTTCTTTCTTTCTTTCTCTCGCTCTGTGTCTCTCTCTGGTCAAATTAAAATAAATGAATGAATAAATAAAATTAAATAAATAATTCTTTTAAAAAAATAAGCTGTCTCAGCAGCAGCTAGGGACCCCTTGACATTAGAAAGAAAGCTCTTTTAGGATAGTTAAATAATGATTGTAGCTTTAAGATCGCACCTGACATAACTCCCCTTTAAAATTCCTTAAAAAAAAAAGAAAAAAGAAAAAAGGCTATATACTCACCAAGGGTACTGTTTTCCAAACTGAAGGTGCAGCGCTTGCAATATTTTGTCTTGGGTGTCAGCATCCCGGACATGAAGGACGTTCTCCCCTAGGAAAATCCAGTGACACTTTATAATGATTTGGAAGTAGGAATAGCAAAAGAATAAAAAAGTTAATAGTGTGTTGTGCTCGTAATTAGCCCTGACACCCAGCAATTGTAATTAAGTCATCTTCTATTAGGAAGACATAAATTTTTCTGCTTTCTACTTTGTAAGGTACTCTTAACAAGATTTCCATATATCAAACACTTACAGGCACTAAGGTCTTTTATTCCCAGAGAATAATCAAGTTTTATTTGCTTATTGAAATAAATAAGATTAATCTAGTATCTCCTTACCACTTGCCTAGTCATCTATTAAGTACACTCTCTTTTTTTTTAAGAATTATTTATTCAGGACCAGCAGATGGCATAATGGTTATGTCACTGGACTCCCACAGAGTCGACTACAGTTTAAGTCCCAGACACAACAGCTTGGGGCTCAGGCCGGGCATATGTGTGTGTGCTTAAAATCCCAAGAGGAGAATGAAGGAGAAGGGATTGTGGCATGGCCATCCCCCCTGGGGGGGATTTCTCACTTTCTGTCTCTCTGTCTCTGTGTCTCCAGCGAGTGCACATACCCTATAGAAAAATCTCTCTCTAAAAAAATAAATAATAAATAAAATCAATTATAAAAAATGTTTTTAAAAGAATTATTTATTTAATTGTATATATTATTATTATTATTATTATTGACTAGAGAGAGGAGGAAACTGAGACTGCAAGCTGCCAGGTCAGAGCCTTGAACAGCAGTCAGCCATGTGGGAGTGCAGTGCCTTTACCGCCATGCCACTTGCCAGTCCTTCTTTCTTTTTTTTTTAAACTTGCCAGTGTACTCAACAGAGAGACAAAGAGACAAAGAGACACATTTCCCCATGGGAAATGGTCACAGTGTAATCCTTTCTCCTCCAGCTCTTTTAGTTCTCTCTCCTTTCAGAATTTTGGGCACATACATACATACAAACACACACACACACACACACACACACACACACACACACACACAGTGTGTTTCCAGCTGCCAGGTAAGGGAATCCAACCATGCAGTCAGCCATGTAGGGTCCAGCTGTCCTAACCACCACAGGTGGCCCTAGTCAGTCCACTGTCTTTCAACTTGCCCTGCCCTCTATTTAGCCAGTTGTTCAACCCAGTCAGGCAAGGCTGGTTCAATTAGTCATTCAATGGCTGGTCAGCTGTTTGGGCAGTCACTTTCTCTCCACACATCTCCTGACCAATGTGAAGAAACCAATACAGCAAAAATGGCCTTTTTTTTTTTTTTCAATAGGTGTGGTTAAGAATACAAGTGCAGAAGAGAGGTGGCTGGAGAGAGGTGTGAGGTCAAGGAAGGGGGTTTTGTCTTTAAGCTGTGAGAGGCCAGTTTAAATAATGAGGAGGTTAGATGCGCATGGAAGAGCAAGGGTGACTCAATGGAGAGGTTCCCTGAAGAGGCCTCCTTTCTCCCTTGGTTTTAAATACCATTTATGGCAGACTGCTGTTATTCTCAACACCCATTCTTCATACTAGTAACTGATTTTCCCCTGGGCATCTAATTACTCAGCTAGAAACTATTCTTCAGCTTTCCTTGCAGCATGACGTGGTCATGTGGCTGAGTTCTGATGACACGGAGAAGAAATATTTGTCACTCCCAGGTTGTGTCTTTAAAGGGAAGCCCTCCTCATAGCTAAAATATGGACTTACTAGCCAGAGCTGGAGCAACCTTCAAAAAGATGGGGACAGGGAGGGTGGCTAAGCCTCTGATGACTACGGAGCTTCTATACCAGTGAGAAGGAAAGAAAATCGAATGCCATGAATCCACCATTATTTCTGACCTGTTACTGTAGCTGAGCCGCTGTCCTAACTACACCTCAATATGCTAGGGACTCTCAAATTTACATCTCCCTGACCTACCAGGCTGCTTACGTGCTGTCTCTGCTTTGATGTCTAATAGGCTTCTCAAACTTAACGTGGCCATAAAGAACTCTCACTTCCATCTGCTCCCAAATCTGTTTCTTCCTCGGTATCCCCCATATCAGGAAAGAACACTTCCCCTGCTCAATCCAAAAATCTGGCTTTGTTATTGATTCCTTTCTTCCCGTCACCTCACACATCATCCAAGTTCGATAACGAACTCCCACCCTGACTCTGCTCCATCTGCCACTACCACTTAGTCCAGGCCAGTATCATCTCTCATGGCAACTCTTTTTCTTTTTCTAAAGAATTATTTTACTTAACTTTATTTTTTTTTTATTTTATTTTATTTTATTTTATTTTGATCAAAGATGGACAGAGCAAAAGAGAGATGGAAAGTGAGAAAACAAGCCGCTAGGTCTTGAACCACAGTTGATCATGTGGGAGCCCAGTGCCCTTACCCACTATACTACCTGCTGGCTCCCCAAAGAATTATTTTATTTGATATGTTATTATTATTATTTCATTAATTTGACCAGAGAGAGAGGGAAAGTGAGAAAGCAGGCTGCCAGGTCTGGGACTTACACCATAGTAGGCCATGTGGGGGTCCAGCCTCTTAACCACTGCACTACCTGCCAGACTCTTTTTTTTCAAAGAGAGATTTTTGCTATAGGGCATGTGTGTTCACCAGAGAGACAGAGACAGAGAAACAAAAAGTGAGAAAATTTTTCCCTAGGCAGGATGGCCACACCACAATTCCTTCGTTCCATTCACACACCTGCATGCACACGCGTGCACCAATAAGTTTTAAGCCACCAGCCCAGAATTCAAACTGCAGTCAACTACATGGGAATCCAGTGACGTAACCATTATGCCATCTGCTGGTCCTGCACCTGGACAACTCTTAACTGGCCTTCCTGCTTCCACTCCTGACACTCCACTTTGCACTTTCCATATAAGCAGCCTGAGTAATTTTTCCCAAATGCAAGTCATACTGTGTCATTATGGCTTCCCACCATACCTAGAAAAGATCCCAGATGGTTTTCCCTGGCTTACAAACTGCCTCCTTCTCTAATGTCATGTCTCACTGGCTCTTGCCCACACACTCCACAGACACTGGTCCTTCTGTTTCTCAGCTGCGGCATCTTCTTCCCACCCAGGGCCTTCACACTGGTTGGTCTCTCTGCCTCACCCTAAATCTTATAAACCTGACTCGTCATTCAGATCTCAGCTTAAGTGTCACCTCCTCAAAGAGGACTTTTTTTTTTTTTTTTAGAGTTTTTTCTTCGCGTGCACTCACCAGACAGACAGAGACAGAGACAGAAAGCGAGAAATCACCCCCCAGGGGGGATGGCCACGCCGCAATCCCCTCTCCTCCTTTCTCCTCTCGGAATCCTGGGCACACACGCACACTTGCTCGGCGTGAGTTTTAAGCCACCAGGTCTGGGACGCGAACCACGGTCGACTACATGGGAGTCCAGCGACATAGCCATTACTTGTTACCAGCTAACTGCTGGTCCCAAAAGAGGACTTCTTTTACCAAGTCAAATGTAATCTATCCCATGGCCTTATATTCCAGGATCCACAACATATAGAAACGCTGATATTTTTCTTTCTACTTCTTGGGTCTATCACCTGTCTCCCTCCTGACAAAATGTAAGTTACATAAGAACTCAGTTTTGTTGGGAACTAGCAGTTAGCGTAATGGCTATGTCGCTGGACTCCCATGTAGTTGACTGCGGTTCGTGTCCCGGACTCGGTGGCTTAAAACTCACGCCGGGCGCATGTGCATGCGTGCCCAAGATCCCGAGAGGAGAATGGAGAAGGGATTGCAGCATGACCATCCCCCCTGGGGGGTGATTTCTCGCTTTCTGTCTCTCTGTCTCTCTCTGTCTGGCGAGCGCACGTACCCTATAGTGAAAAAACCTCTCCAAAAAAAAGAACTCAGCTTTGTTCATCTAGTTTACTGCCAAGTCCCAGTGCCTAGCACATGGTAGGTGCTTATTAAACATTTTCTTAATGAATGAAGTTAATGAATTTGAAACAATTTCACCTTCATGGCTTTTTTTTTTTTCTCTAAGAAATGGGTGGCAAGGTATTAGGCTGCAAATGAGAGAGGAAGAAGATCTAAAGATAACAGACAGGGAGCAATTATGAAGCATATGTGAAAGGGCGAGCTGGAACTCTGCTTCTAACCCAATTATTTTCCTGTTAACAACATATTTTTCTATTAGCTGCAGATATATATTTTTATGTATTATATGTTCTTATTAACATTAGAACTTGGGCTAATGCTAATAACAGCATCTATATTATTAACAAAGTCATTCATAATGATCCCACTTATAGTTACTAAGGGGCACCTTACTTAGAATTGCCATATTCTAATGTTCTGACTAAAGGAACTCTAGTAGTCCCAGAAAATATACTCAGGACACACTCAACCACATTCTCTCTCTCTCTCTCTCTTTTTTTTTTTTTTTAGGGATTTTTCTATAGGGGACGGGCCCCCTCCAGAAAGAGAGACAGAAAGTGAGAAATTACACACCAGGGGAGATGACCACACCGCAATCCCTTCTCCTCCATTCTCCGCTTGAGATCTTGGGCACGCACACACACGCGCCCGGCGTGAGTTTAAGCCACCAGGTCTGGGACGCAAACTGTGGTTGACTACATGGGAGTCCAGCGACATAGCCATTACGCTAACTGCTGGTCCCCTCTCTCTCTCTTTCTCTCTCTCTCTCTTTTTTTAAGATATTGCCAGGGGCCAACAGGCATGGTGTTAAAGGCACTGAACTCCAGTATGCCAACCATGATTCGCATCCCAGACCTAGTGGCTTGCTTTCCCTCTCTCTCTCTCTCTCTCTGATAAAACTGGAAAACAATAATAATAATTAATAAAGTTAAATAAAAATAATTCTTTAAAAAAAAGATTTTGCCATATGGCGTGAGAGAGAAAGTGAGAAATCACCTCCCTACGCCATCCCAGGGAAAATGGCCATTTCACAATCCTTTCTCCTCTACTTTCCTCCCAGGATTTTGGGCATGCACACACACACACGCCCAGTATGATTTTCAAGCCAACGGGTCTGGGACCTGAACTGTGGTCAGCCATGTGGAAATCCAGCACCTTTACCACTACGCCATCTGCTGTCCCCATTTTCTCTTAAACACAGCCATCTAAGACTATAATTAGGGCTGGCCCATAATACAGAGGTTAAGCCCTTTATGGAGATAACCGGATCCCACACAGCTGACCACAGCTGGAGTCCTGACCCCAGCAGCTTGAAGGAACAGCCAGAAGGTGTGTGCTCACCAGAGAAAGTAAGAGAGAGAGAGGGCTCCTCCACCCTATGGGATGTGGTCATGCCACAATCCTTTTTCCATTATTCCTTTATAAAATAATTAAGTAAAGACTACTTACCTCTGGTTGATATTACAAAGACAATAAAAATATAAGTATAGATCTAAAAATATTTGGTAATCACTGCGTGCTATTTATAGACTATTCATAGATTTTAGACTGTTGGGTTGTTAACCTCATTTGTTCACTAAAATAAAGTGAACACTGATACTTGCATACCTTATAATAACTCAGACATGTGTAATGTCTAGTCAGTTTCAATATAAACAAAGGTAAACACCTGTTTCTCTTCCAATCTGACGTGTCCCCAGGTTGATCACAGGTGTTCCAAAAGCTCCAACCTCCCGAACTCCACAGCTGCTATTCCCAATCATACAACCGGCATGGGCGACCAACTGTATAAACTGGTCAAACGGGACATGTTTAACCGCACGGAAGTTGGGATGATGTTCAATGCCCTTCTTCCGCATCACTCGAACCATTTCTTTGCTCCCTGTGAAAATGAAAGCAAAGAAAACAAACAATAGCTAAATGGTTTATGAGCTAAAGAAACCACTTTCATTGGCAAGTATATCCCCACTTAAAGAAATCTCCCTATAAAAACTCACACCAGTTATTAGGGCACCAGCCATCTTAATTGTTTATCTTTTTTTTTTTTTTTTTTAAAAATAAGAGTTTTTTTTTGCTATAGGGCGCGTGCGCTCACCAGACAGACAGAGAGATAGAGAGCGAGAAATCACCCCTCCCCCCGGGGGGATGGCCACTCCGCAATCCCTTCTCCTCCATTCTCCTCTCGAGATCCTAGGCATGCACACACACGCGCCCAGCGTGAGTTTTAAGCTACTGGGTCTGGGCCATGAACCGTGGTCGACTACGTGGGAGTCCAGCGACATAGCCATTACGCTAACTGCTGGTCCCAATTGTTTATCTTTTCACAAATGATACCTCAATCTGTCTGGCCAGCTCTGTGCTTCAACTCATCTATCAACTCAAATAGCAGCAGTTGAGAGTTTTCAAGCAGAACTCAGCAGTGAATTCTTTTAGTAATGCCCCAATAAAAATCTTTACCTTAAGCAACAGTTAAAAGGCCAAACAGGTCAATAATCTAAATCTCTTAAGCTGGAAATTCCTAAATGGAAAGATCTCGGGCTCCACATGCCAAGATGATCTGAAACCTTCTGCCCAATTATGCTCTCATCTACACTCACCACAACTCAGCTGGATAGCAATCCTAATTTTGTGGACTGAACTTTAAGAAAATACAGATAGATTCCGGTACTGTGACTAATACTTTATTTCAAATGCATGACTTAGCGTTTAAAGACGTTATGAAGGAGAGACAGTATTTAACACCTCTCTGTGTGTCTCTTCACTCACCTTCTCCTAGCTACCTCACCCAGTGGAGGAGAAGTTGTTAATCGGATTGGTTCAAAGGCAGGACAATGATACACCATGTCTCCAAGTGGAAAGGAGCCAGTGACATAAGAGGCTGAGCATGCATCCGTCCTCTCTTTAATTTTCTCTTTGTGGGAAAGCGGGTAAGTGGACTCAGGGTCTCACTCCTTGGAGCAGGCCTACCCACTTCTTTCTATATACAGCCTTGCCAGTCATCATCTATAATTACTGTAGTACATGGCGTACCAGAGGTACTGCTATTCCACGATTCAGATTTGGATTTAGCTAAAGGCCTTAAACCTAAACCACATGCACTAATCCAGTTTTCCAGAGACTCCTACTCTGGGGAACTGAGCACTAAGCCAGACAGCACTAAGACATCTGATTCTTATTTCTCTGTATTTATCTTATTAAAAACCCCATGACAAGTAGAAGCCAGTGATACATATGATTTAGATATCCCTGGGACCCTTTACTTTCACAGAAGAAAAATATCTCCAATTTTAAAGTGCAAACAAGCAGTAATGTAAATAACAATCAGAATATATCAGTGGTGATGAATACTGAACAAGAGAGATACACAATTACATTATAAGTCTTTAAACAACATTTAAAGGATAAGAGATTATAAATATTAAGAATTTTAAAATACTGATGCATTACCTGGATAAAATCTGGGTTGAGTATTCTGAATTATTTTTTTTCAATTAACACCCTACTTTGTTTCTCCTAACAGAAAGGATCCGCGGAGGGACGTGAAGAGTGGGTTCTTTGAGTAAGATGGTGATATCCTGCCATTGTAGAGAAAAGGTCCTGTCTCTACCAAAAAATGCCCAAGAGCTCAATGCTAAGTGGTGCCAGCTAAAAAGACCCAGTATCTGAACATTCCTCAGTGTCAGGCCTTGCTATGGTGCTTCTTATTTGCATTTCACATCCCCATTAATTTGCCTAAGTCTCACCAACATCGTCGAACCCTTCAGCACCATCAGCCAGGGCAAACTGAGAATCAGCTGGCTGGGGACTCCAGAGCTAAACTGCTTGAGCTTAAGATTACTTTAAGATATAGCTAATGTAAATAAGAAAGTGATCAAGAAATGAGCCACCTTACTGTAGTCAGTGGGATCATCACTGTCCTAGAGATGCCCTTACCTTCTACGGGTTATGTTCCTTGGCTATTACAGCTTCTCAATGGAAACTGGAGTGAAAAGCGTAACCGTGAGACCAAAATGGAAATTACAAAGACCTTTTTTAGTATTCATTTCTTGCTTATTAAGTTTCTACTAGACTTGACAAAAACATCACAAAGTCTTTGATCTACAGCAAAACTGGCAATCTTTTGAAAACTGGAAATTCCTTGAAAATGGGAAATCAGGATAGAGTGGCCTTCAGTAATAAGATGAGCGAGACGGGAAGGCAGTTGTAATAGGAGCACAATTGAAAAGGCAGATGGCATGATTTCATTTTCAGTGAAAATGGAAAATGTTCAATTACCTGCATCAATATTGGGAAACAGAACTAAAGTCCGCTTGTTAAACGAGATTAGTGCATCCAACGTTAATTCAAACATTTTTATGGAATGCTTAATATCAGTGGTCACTGGGTGCTGTAGTGCCACAATGTAATCTTTAGATTTTACATCATCACCTGTTTAAAGAAAATCAAACCACAGTGCTTCATTAGTTAAGAAAAGGGAGAAGAAAATACTGAAAGCAAGACCCTAGAGTCTGTGCTTTTAAAAATTCTTAGATTAAAAACACTCTGTCACATTCTAAACAAGGCATCCAAATTAGAATCAAATGATAAGAACAAGTCTAAGTAGTTAGCAAATTTAACATTTTATAAAGATGTCTGCTGTCATAAACATGACTTTCAATGGCAAGTGTTAGAAATTCATTTTAAAATCTAAAATATTCCAAAGGATCAGGAAGAAAATATGAATCTTTCCTATGTCTAACAGTTTTTAGTGAATAATTAGCAATATTAATAACTACTAATATGGAGGCAAATCAGGGCTCTTATAGATTGAATGACCATCAAACATACTTCATTTAATGCACAGGAACTTTCCATACCATCATCAAATTCAGCAAGTGGTAACTGTTTCTAACTTGGTTCAAAGGACTAGAAAGGCTTCCCTCTTCTTCCCAAGGACTGTTCCTCAGCAAAACTTTAAGAGGTCTGGCTTGTCAGTGAGTGCCATGTGGAGCACCACAAGGCATTTATCAACCGGGCTCTATTATTCCATAAAACTGACAAAGAGCACCGCTTGCAGATTTTTAATGAAAGATGGTTTCTGTGATAATCATTTTAATCATCAATTTTATCATGAACTATGTGATTTAACATTAATTACAAATTCAACCAGGAATAATTATTATTTTATGATTTAATGGTAACAGGAGATTTTTACTAAGTTAGAATCTTTAGTAATATTTGAGTTAAGATATCATATAAGCTCCAAAATTTTATTTTAAAAATATTGGTCCTATGTTAGCTTCCAAAGTAGAGGAGAATATACATTTACGTTTTGGACAAAGTAGGAAAAAGACCTAAAGGCCTAAAAGGATCTATTGGAAACGTGATAAAACGTGGACATTTCAAAGATCGAAAGGAAAACAGCCTCTCTTATTACAATGACAGATACCTGGAAAGACAAGATCAACACCGCTTATCTACTATACAGGGATCGGGGCCACTGGGAATTAAACACTAGGCTCCCCCACAGTGCAATGGATGGGCACTGTACCGAGGAAGCTGGATCCCATATAGCCAACGAGGCTTCAAGTCTTGGCCTCAACATCTTGAAAAAAATGCTGGGGGTGCACACATATGTGCAGGACCCCAAGAGGGTGGAGAGTTGGAGGAAAGTGCATGATCAGGCCCTGTTGGGGTGTGCTCTCTCTCTTTCCGTCCCTTTCTGACTATCTCTTTCTTGTGCACAACAGCACCCTCAGGCACTGGACTGGAGAAAGTCTGCTATACATACCTAACCACATCCGAATGATGCTCATGTAGTCTTTGTTCTTGGCTGAGAGAAGTTTGTCATAGGAAGGGCAGCCTGCCAAAAGGATGCGGTCATGGTCCTCACACATGGAGATCAGATGTTGTTCAGCACTCCGGGTGCAGCACACGTGATAATGAGCCAGTTTTGTTATGGCATGTCTAATAGAGTCATCAATGGTACCACTGACTTCTCCACCTTCAATATGAAGGATTCGGATGTTCATCAAGGCAGCAGATGTGGCCAGAGCTAGGGCATCAAACCTGTCTCCGTGAACAATCATGATATCAGGCTTCAGACGATTAAGGACATCTGGTAGCTTCACTAGCGCCAAGCCTACTGACTCCACCATGGCTGCCTCATCTTCTCCCCTCACGATCGTGTGTAGCCTGGTGTTAATGTCAAAGTCATCTTGTTCAATCATGCGATACGTATTTCTAAAGCAGGAGAGAAATAAGATGTGAGAATATGTTCTTAAACTCAGGGCCATAACATGCAAGACAAGCGATCCAATACCAACTCTGAGGTATTTAACAATTTAACAGATTTCAGTTTTTACTTGTTAAAATAAAACAAAATAAACTGAAATATAACTTACATATAAAAATAAAGGACACAGACCATAAGTGTACGTATAGCTTAATTAATTTTTTAAGTTTATTTCTTCCATAAGAGAGAGACAGGGAGAGAGATGGCTACCCTAAAAAGGGTCCTCACACCATGATCCACCCCAGTCTCAGCCAGCCCAGATTGCTCATGTCTCGCCTGCTCAAGGAGTCCGCAGAATGTGAACCCAGGACGTTTCCCATGTGGGTTCAGTTCTGTCACTGCTGGCCCAGCTTAATGTTTTTTTTTTCCTTTATGAGAGAGAGAGTGGCACAGAGAGAGGAGAGGAGAGAGGGAAAAGAAGAGACACACAGGTATTTTTGACAACTAGGCTTCAAGTCTTGGCCTCAACATCTTGAAAAAAATGCTGGGGGTGCACACATATGTGCAGGACCCCAAGAGGGTGGAGAGTTGGAGGAAAGTGCATGATCAGTTTTGACAAGGTCTTGCTGTGTCACGGTCCTCCTGCCCTCACCTCCCAATTAGCTAGTATTGTGGGTGCACCACCGTGCCCAGTATGTTTAGGTTGGCCTGGGAACCAAAACTAAGTCTCGCATGCAACTGGCCTCCAGCCTCCTATGCAGTGGCATTATCTGTGCACCACTGTACTGAGTCTGTTTAATTCTTTCACATGAATACCCCCATGGCCACCACCAAGATCAAGATACACATATCTAGTACTTTGAGTGCACACATGTGTCCCCTTCCAATCAATGCCTAAAGGGAGGAACATCTAAGGGAGAATGTTTTAATTTTTATTAGGGAGAAAGGGTTTTTTTTGGCCAAGGGGCATGTCTATTATCGATTTCTGTTTGCCTGTTGGTTGCTCTCCAGTGTCTTCAAATATTTTTTAAAATATTGTTTCAGAGTATATAGGGGGTAGCTATGGAAGACTGAGTCAGATATAAGGTACTCTGCCATTATTATAACCTGAACTTTAAAAAAAAATCCTTAAGTTAACTCATTTATTATAAGCTAGTGATGCCTCAAATGGTAGTGCTTCTACCAGTCTTTCAATTCCTTCCATCTTCTGGTAACAGACTTTACTGTAACGGTGGAAGTGGTGTTGTTGGTCCAGGACCATTAGTTACTGTTTTCATGCAGGAACCATGTGCCAGAGTTCAAAACTTGGTCTCTCCATCTTGGTTTTATCACAGGAGGACCTAGTGCACTTGTGCTCACTGACTACAGGTTTTTCACCCTTTTCCAGACGGAAGCACTACAGCAAGTCCTACGTTTACTGACAATTCCAAACCCCTTGGTGCATTTAGCCACATCACCGTAAACTAGTTGCAAGCCCAGAGGAGAAGCTGAATTTTTTTCCTTTTTTTTTTTTTTTGAGAGAGATTTTTCTACAGAGCGCATGCGCTCACCGGAGAGACAGAGAGACAGAAAGCAAGAACTCACTCCCCACAGGGATGGCCACACCACAATCCCTTCTCCCCCACTCTCCCCTTGAGATTTCGGGCATGCATGCACACACACCCGGCATGAGTTTAAGCCACCAAGTCCAGGACTTGAACCATGGTTGACTATGTGGGAGTCCAACAACATCACCATTACACCATTTGCAGGACTTCTTTTTCTTAAGTATTTTATAATTTGAGTTGAGTATTAGTTTAGTTTCTCCCAGCGTTTCCCTATAGTATGAAAGCACTTAAGGCCATACATTTATTTCTTCTTTTTCCTTTCTTTTTTTTTTTAGAGAGAGATTTTTGCTACAGGGCACATGTGCTCACCAGAAAGATAGACAGAGATAGAGACAGAGATAGAAAGTGAAAAATCAGTCCCCAGGGAGAATGGCCACACTGCAATCCCTTCTGCTCCATTCTCCTCTCAGGATTTTGGGCACATGCATACACACATCCAGCCTGAGTTCTTTTTTTTTTTTTTTTTTTAAAGTATAACAATCCTGTTTTTTAAAAAAAATACTCAAGTAGGTGAAATAAAAGGTAGCTTATTTTTTGTTTTAATGTCTTTAAAAATAAGTAATACATTCACATTATTTAAATTCAGAAGGTACAAAATGTTATACAGCAAAAAGTCTTTCATTTTTGTCTCCCAATCATTGAATTCTCTCTAGAAGCAACCAATGTCTTGTGTTAAAATGTACTTTAAATATACATTTTCATTAAGCACTAATCAAATTTCTTATTTAATAGTTTCAGCTGACAAATACTACCTTCCTACCTTTAAAGAAATACTTTTTATTTAACTTTATTTATTATTATTATTTTCCAGTTTGATCAGAGAGAGAGGGGAAGAGAGAAAGCAAGCCACCAGGTCCAGGACTTGAACCATGGTTGGCTATATGAGAGTCCAGTGCCTTTAACCACCACCTGCTGGCTCCCCTTTCTACCTTTAGTACTGTGGTATGCAAATAAGAAACTGACTACATTTTGTCCAAGAGCCTCTTGCCACCAAGTCTTCCAGTCAAAGCTTTCTCATAGAAGAAAAATAACACATTCAGTCTTAAATGTTAGGCCCCAGTTAAAAATTCTCTTCTACATAGTCCCATTACCAAAGTGGATTTTCTTAGAGAGCCAGAATTCATTTCACATTTAAAATATATATAGATCCCTGAGGTATCCATAAAATTTTTTTCTCTACTTTTAAGTATTTTCTTAGAGCAAACTGCCAAGTTTATTTCTAGAGATCTTATTTGTTTTACTACTTGCTGTTCTACTACTGTTTTGTTTTTGAAGAAAAATCTGAAAAGGACAATTGGACTTCGACACAAGCATCTTTCATATGTTAGCTCTTTGGAGGCTGCACTAACACTCTTATGCCACAAGGGTGCACTAAATGCCGCTTTATTACATACAACAAAACGAATGTTCATTTATGCTTGATGTATTCTGCTCCCTCCAAGATTACTGAACCTTCATGTTTCAAACATAGCCTGTAATCAACAAACCTACTGTCACCAAAATAAGTATCAATGGTCACTTTTTTTAGAGAGATTTTTGCTACAGGACACATGTGTTCTCTAGAGAAACAGACAAAAAGAGAAAAATCAGAATGGCCACGCTGCAATCCCTTCTCCTCCATTCTCCTCTTGGATTCTGGGCACACATGCACACACACCCAGCATGAGTTTAAAGCCCCCCAAGCCACTGGATCCAGGACTCAAACTGCAGTTAGCCATGTGGGAGTCCAGAGATGTAACCATTATGCCATCTGCTGGTCCCAAATGGTCATGTTAATATAACATTCTACAATACCTGGCAGGTCAATTTGTTTCTCTGTCTGTTTGCTTCAGGGGTTTTCGCCTTAGGGTGTGTGTGCTCACCGGACAGAGAGAGTCAGACACAGTGAGAGCGAAAGAGAGGACACTCCCCCAGGGAGTGCTTGTGGGCCTGCAGGTTGGTTGCGACCGCTGGTCACTGTTCCGCAGGATGGGATTTGTTAAAGTCGTCAAGAATAAGGCCTACTTTAAGAGATACCAAGTGAAATTTAGAAGACAACGAGAGGGTAAAACTGATTACTATGCTCAGAAACGCTTGGTGATCCAGGATAAAAATAAGTACAACACACCCAAATATAGGATGATGGTTTGTGTAACTAACAGAGATATCATTGTCAGATTGCTTATGCCCGGATAGAAGGGGATATGATAGTCTGCGCAGCTTATGTACACGAACTACCAAAACACGGTGTGAAAGCTGGCCTGATAAATGATGCTGCAGCATATTGTACTGGCCCGCTGCTGGCCCGCAGGCTTCTCAATAGGTTTGGCATGGACAAGATCTATGAAGGTCAAGTGGAAGTGACCGGAGATGAGTACAATGTAGAAAGCATCGATGGTCAGCCTGGTGCCTTCACTTGCTATTTGGATGCAGGCCTTGCCAGAACTACCACTGGCAATAAAGTTTTTCAGGCCCTAAAGGGAGCGGTGGATGGAGGCTTATCTATCCCTCACGGTACCAAACGATTCCCTGGTTATGATTCTGAAAGCAAGGAATCTAATGCAGAAGTCCATCGGAAGCACATCATGGGCCAGAACGTTGCAGACTACATGCGTTACCTAATGGAAGATGAAGACGCTTACAAGAAACAGTTCTCTCAGTACATAAAGAACAATGTAACTCCAGACATGATGGAGGAGATGTATAAGAAAGCTCACACTGCTATACGAGAGAACCCAGTCTATGAAAAGAAACCCAAGAAAGAAGTTCAAAAGAAGAGGTGGAATCATCCCAAGATGTCTCTTGCCCAGAAGAAAGATTTCCAATAGAAGGCAAGCTTCCTCAGAGCTCAGGAGCAGGCTGCTGAGAGCTAAACCAAACAATTTTCTATGACTTTATTCAAGATAAAAGATAATAAATCACAAGAAACCAAAAAAAGAAAAAAAAAAAAAAAAGAAAGAAAGAAACCAGCCCCCAGGGAAAATGGCCACGCCGCAATTATTTCTCATCCATTCTCCTCCCAGTAGTTTGGGCATGCACACACATGCACGCAGCATGATTTTCCAAGCCACCTGGTCTGGAACTCAAACCACAGTCAGCCACGTGGCAGTCCAGCGATATAACCCTTATGTCATCTGCTGGCCCTGGTCAATTAATTTTTAACATCCTGTTCTATTGGGTCATCGGAAAAGTCAAGACACATTTTTGCATAGGAAAACGGAAAAAAATACATCATGACTCTTCTGGCAACCCAGTATGTCTACTACTTTATAGCCTTCAATCTATAAACCAGTTTTTTAAAATAATTTAATTAATTTATTATTATTATTAAAGTTTACTATAGGGCATATGTGCTTTATATCTATAGAGAGAGAGAGGAGGAAAGTGAGAAAGCAAGCCACCAGGTCCGGGATTCCAAACCATGGTTGGCCGTGTGGGAGTCCAGTGCCTTAACCACCACGCTACCTGCTGGACCCTGTCCTCCACCCATAAACAGTTTTGAAGAGTTGCCATTGGAATTCACAAAACAAATTACGTGGAATGACATCATTACAGTCACACAATACATATATTTACACATAGCATTTTTCCTGACTAATAATAAATGATAAACGTTAATAATATTATATAAAGCTATCACTTAACCAAGCAGCTACTAAATACCACTGTGATGGATGCTTTACATCTCTATCTCCATTCTTCACAATAATTTACAATATAGGTTTTCACTCCATTTTACAAGTGAAGAAACTTAGAGATGGCAGAACTTCTCCAAGGCCACATAAAAACCAAGTGGTAGAACTGGGCTTTGAAATAGGTCCATGTGGCTATAAAACCCAACCTCTCTCCAGGATACTGTTGGAACAAAAAGAAACAAAAAAAGATGTTTCCATCTTACCCATAGTCGTCTATCAGGTGAGAGCCAAGTACTACCACATCGAGTTCAAAAAACTCTGGTTCCGTTTTAATGCCAAACATGATTGGGGCAAGTTTAGAATAATCAGCACGGTTGCAAGTAGCAACACAAACCCGCAGCTTCCGGTTATTCCCGTTCTTCTCCATGATTTGTGGTTTTCGTTTGGAGAGGTTCTTAAAATAGAGTTCCTACAAAAAAGTTGTAAAAAATAAAAATTATTGTTTATAATCACAACTACTAGATATAAAAATGAACTTTTCAGTTGTAAGTCTTTAACCATCATTTAGTGGGTTTTTGTTTGTTTGTTTCCTAGAGGGCTATGTGTTTGTCAGAAAGAGAAACAAAGGCAGAAAGAGGGAGAGGGAACCAGCAGTTAGCGTAATGGCTGTGTCGCTGGACTCCCACGTAGTCGACCGCAGTTCGCGTCCCAGACCCAGTGGCTTAAAACTCACGCCGGGCGCATGTGCGTGCGTGCCCAGGATCCCGAGAGGAGAATGGAGGAGAAGGGATTGCGGCGTGACCATCCCCCCTGGGGGGTGATTTCTCGCTTTCTGTCTCTATGTCTCTCTCTGTCTGTATGGCGAGTGCACGCGCCCTATAGCGAAAACCTCTCCAAAAAAAAAAAGGGGGAGAGTAGAGGCACCTCCCATAGGCAATGGTCATACTACCCTTCTCCTCTGTCTCCTTCCATTCAAGATTAGGGGGATAGGTCCGTGTAAGCCCTAGCATGTTTCTCAAGCACTAGGTCTGGCACTCAAACTGCACTGTTGGCCATGTGGGATGAAGCTGCCTTAACCACCAGGCCACAGAGCTGGCCCAGTTTAGTGGTTCTTAATCTTTTCTTCCATTCCTACTCCTGTGTGTCAATTATGAAATTCCAGCAGACTATCTCTACTCCTCTCACACTCAAGAAAACACAATGGAATGCATTTAAGAATGAGTGACATATCAACTCTCATTTTAAAGGCAAGCAAATGTCAATTCTTTAACTATTATTAAAAATTGGGCCTGCCAGTGATGTGGAGGTAAAACAGCTGGATCCCTCATGGCCAACTGCATAGTTTGAGTCCTGGACCCAGCAGCTTGAGGAACACGCTAGGTGAATGAGTCTGCATATATATGTGTCCTTTTTTTTTTTTTTTTTGAGAGGTTTTTGCTATAGGGCGCGTGCGCTCGCCAGAGAGACAGAGAGAGACATAGAGACAGAAAGCGAGAAATCACCCCCCAGGGGGGATGGTCATGCCGCAATCCCTTCTCCTCCATTCTCCTCTCGGGATCTTGGGCACACACACACACGCGCCCGGCGTGAGTTTTAAACCACCGAGTCTGGGACGCGAACCGCGGTCGACTACGTGGGAGTCCAGCGACATAGCCATTACGCTAACTGCTGGTTCCCTGCATATGTGTCTTATTCTCAAGCTGATCATTAAAAAATACAACACTACAGGTTTCATAAGAAATAAAGTTTATAAATCTGATTATGACACTAAACAGTACACACCACCTCTAGGATAAAGTTCAAATTGTTGAAAGGGCCCTAGCCCATCTTTCCAGCCATTTCTTTCCATCTGCAATTACCTGTACTCTGCCAAAGCATCAGTTCCCAGGGAGGATGGCCACGCTGCGATCCTTTCTTATCCAGTCTTCTCCCGGTATCTTGGGCATGCTCACACGCGCACGCCCAGCGTGATATTCCAAGCCACCTGGTCTGCCTACAGTTCAGCTAGAGGACCTCCGTATCTCTGCTCTTACCTTTGCTCTTACGGATGCCAGTACCCCCACCTTAAACTTCCTTTTCCTTGCCTGGACTCACTCATCCTTCAAAACTAGTCTAGGGTCACCTCTTCTGGAAACTCTCCACATAAACCTCAGTTGCTCTTCACCCCTCCCCTTTTCAGTTGCTGCCTCCCTCTGAGCACCATGGCCCTGCCATGCATAAATACACTTTTTTTTTTTTTTTGAGAGGTTTTTGCTATAGGGCGCATACGCTCACCAGAAAGATAGAGACAGAAAGCGAGAAAGCGAGAAATTGCCCCCAAAGGGGGATGGCCATGCTGCAATCCCTTCTTCTCCATTCTTTTTTTTTTTTTTTTGGGGAGGTTTTTGCTATAGGACGCGGGGCACCACCGACAGAGAGAGACAGAAAACGAGAAATCATCCCCCAGGGGGGATGGTCACGCCGCAATCCCTTCTCCATTTTCCTCTCGGGATCTTGGGCACGCACGCACACGCGCCCGGTGTGAGTTTTAAGGCACCGGGTCCGGGACGCAAACTGCAGTCAACTACATGGGAGTCCAGAGACATAGCCATTACGCTAACTGCTGGTTCCCTCCCTTCTTCTCCATTCTAGTCTCGGGATCTTGGGCATGCACACACATGTGCCTGGTGTGAGTTTAAGCCACTGGGTCCAGGACTCGAAACTCACCGGGTCCAGAACTCGAACCACGGTTGACTACATGGGAGTCCAGCGACATAGCCATTATGCTAACTGCTGGTCCCCCACATAAATACGCTCTTGCTCAATGCCTCTGCTCACCCGTCTTCCACCACATTATACCCGCCAAAAAAAATAAAAATCAAGAATAAGAGATAAGAGATTTGTTTTACGCAATATTTTAAACTTCTATATATCAACAAAAAATTTCACCACATGGACTCTGATCTTAGCACTTGTATTTCAGAGAGTATCTCAATATTTAGACCTGTCATCAGGAATCGAGAAGTTGGAGTAAGGGTGCTAACACGACAGGAACTACCCTTCAGATCAGGATAAACTCAAACTCACTGGAAATCCCCAGGAGCCTCTGCTATTCATAGCTCACCTCTCTTAGGCTACAGTTTGGTGACCATGCAAACCGCCCCACTACTAAGCCCACTCAGAATTTACAATCCCCACTAAAAGCTAATCGTACCCAATGGTGGGATTATCTTATAAGATAATGAAATGAGCATTCTGCCAAAAGAGTTGTATTCAGAAGATCTAAGCACAACCTAATCATCAGAGATAAAAATATTCTTCCAAAATATCTATCTTACGTGTTCTTACACAGTTCTTCTCCACTAATCAAACTGAGCTGAAATAATTCTTGGTAATATTTAATTTGCTGGATAAGGCAAAGCAGATCATTCACAATTAGTCAATTTGTACTTATTTTACAAAGAAGAGTAAACAGTAAACTTTATAAGCTAGCCATATAAATAAATTATGAAAAATACAATAATGTTACTTAAGGCCAAGGCTTGCTCTCTCTCTCTCTCTCTCTCTCTCATTTTTTTAAGGCTTTTGCTATACAGCACATGCACTCACCAGAAAGAGACAGACAGAATAAAGACAGAGAGAAAGTGAGAAATCACCCCTCAGAGGCACAGCCATGTCAAAATCCCTTCTCCTCCATTCTCCTCTTGGGATTCTGGGAATGTACGCACACATAACCAGCATGATTTCCAAGGCTCCAGATTCAGAATTCAAACTGTGGTCTGCCATGTGGCACCATAACCACCATACCACCTGCTGGCCCTGGGCCAAAGCTTTTTTAAGGGAATAAGTTAAATCTTAAAAAGAAAATAATAGTAAAATGCCTTTTTCACATTTAATTTTATTCATTATCATCATTATTTTTTTAATTTGACCACAGAGCAACAGAGAGAGAGAGAGAGAAAGCAGAAAAGCAGGCCACCAAGTCCAGGACTCGTACAGTGGTCGGCCATGTGGAAATCCAGCGCCTCAACCACCATGCCACCTGCTGGCCCTGTAAAACGCCTTTTTAATGAGTGGATTATTTTAAAAATAATTTTAATTGAATTAACTTTTTTTTCCTATTAAGTAGTACATTTGTATGATTTAACATGGAAAAGTCATGAGAGGCTAGATAGCAAAGTCTTCTTATCTGTGTTGCCTAGTCACAGTGCTGTTCTGTGAAAGTTAACAGTTACTGGCCTCTTATCTATCCTTCTAAAGATAAACTATGATTATATATGTAAATACCTACATATTTACCTAAAAATACATATAACATATATTATGCAATTGGCAACATATTCTACAAACTGTTGTTGTATGTCTTCTTTTAAAAATCCTTTTAATTAAGTTTCTGAATTAAATAGTAAAATGGAAAAAAGTAAAGATATTAGAAATATCAAACCTAAAAGTGCAAAATTTTGGTCATGCCAGGCATGCATGTGCATACCCAAAATCCCAAAAGGAGAATGGAGGAGAAGAGATTGCAGCATGGCCATCCCCCCTGGGGTTGATTTCTTGCTTTCTGTCTTTCTGTCGCTCTCTGTCTTTCTGAAGAGCACATGTAACCTATAGCAAAAAAAAAAAAAAAAAAAAAAGTCATGCCCAAAGATATTTTTATACTGAGATATATGACTAGAGTCTTCATCATCAGTGTGGAATAAATGAATATGATAAAATGGTTTTAAGCTATTAATATAAAGGGAAATTTAAGTTGTGTAAAGTGCAATATAAAACAAACAAGATGAAACTAGTTTAACAGTGGAATCCTAGACAGCAATTAAAATGAATAGACTATCTATAGTTGACATTTCTTAAATTCATTAAATAGTATTACAATAATATTATCATTATTTAAAATAAGAAATCCTTTAAGTGAAAACTGTGAAGTAGATGTACTTTCCATAACCCCAACTCCAAAGCTTAGAAAGTCAGAAGGAAATTTTAGATATCTGCATCCATTGTACTCTCCGATTCCACAGCTGTAACCAGTACCAAAAGAGAGATGAGTGACTGACAGATGGAGAGTTTCTAAAACAATTATGCCTTCATCTTGAACTCATTGATAATCGCTGAGAAATCCAATTGAAGACCATATTCTGCATTCTCTCAATTCAAGACTGTCCATTACAAATACCGACCAAAAAAAGTGATCAATTCTCTCCCCAAAAATAGTTAATTTTTAAAAAATAAAAAGTTCTTCCAAAGGAATTTCTTAAAATAATGAACACTGGGCTCAGGCCGATACAGAGGAAACAGAAGAAACATTAACATTTGGTGAGTACTTCCACAGGGTCAAGCACTGTGCCAATAGCTTTGCAAGTATGACCTCACTTCTCCCTAACAGTACTCTTTTCAGCTCCATTTTACAGACAGTGGCACTGAGGTACAGAGAAAAAGCACTTACTTGCCCCCAAATCACAGTTAAATAGGTAATCACTGGCAGGCCCAAACAAAACAAAACCAAACAAACAAACAAAAAACCCAGATCCGAAAGCCTCCAGCATCCTGGACACTGCCCCACACCCCCTCTGTAAACATCTGTGTGTGCAAACCTTCCTTGAAGAGAACCTGAGGCTCTCTCCTTCCTTCAGTGCGCGGAGGGGATGAGCTCTGGGAGTACAAGGGAAAGGGCTACAGGGAGGGGCCTGAAAGTCAGACCCCTGTTCCCAAGCTGTACTCGGGTTGGCTTCTCCTTCCCGAGCCCTTACAGGTGGGTTAACCAAGTATCTATCCGGGTCGCCACACGGGTACCCGCCCTTTCGATAAGGGTGCATGCTGTGGTCCAACAATTTCACAAGGGAGCTCGGCGTGGAGCGGGGAGGAGGGAAAATGAAGGCTTATCAAACTTCCAAGGAATCCCGGAAAGAACGGAGACTTGGAGTTAGCGGAGACTCTCCAGATCATCTTCTGGTGCCATCCGGTCCACGCCTGACTGCGGGCAGCGTGGCACCCTCCCTCGCACACCTCGGAAACGGAGCGCTGTCCCCCTGCTGGACAGCACGCCTAGGAGGCGAGGCCAGCCAGGCCTCCCTCCACAGCCCTAGCCCTGTGCAACCCGGCCACACACAGCCCCAAGGCGGAGCCCCGCGGGTGCCCTGTCGCGTGGGCCCGCGGACTGCTGGCGAGGCCGCATCGGGGTACGGGCCCGGGGGCGCAGAGCGGCGTGGGAGACCCTGGGAAAAGGCAGGATGCTCTCGCGAATTTCCGACTCCGCGCGGCTCTCTCCAGACGGCGGGCTGAGGCTCTCTCCCGCGCCGCGGCCTCACTTTGAGGGCAAGACTCGAACCGAGCACCACAAAGCAGGCCGGGCGCGAGCCCGCCCCCGGCTTCCTCAACGCGAGCGCGCCGGTCGATGACTCGTCGCTCGACCCTGGTCCCCGATTCTCGCCTCCCCCGCCCCCCGCCCCGCACACCCACCCGGAGCACCGAATCAACAAAAGTGCCTGTACGTCACTTGAGAGGACTTCCGTGATTGGCTGCT